ATTGTTTATATAAAGATAAGCCTATCAATGGGAGTGTTACGTGTATTTTTATAACTATTATTATTGTGTATATATAAAGATAAGCCTGTCAATGGGAGTGTTACGTGTATTTATTATTATTATTATTATTATTGTGTATATAAAGATAAGCCTGTCAATGGGAGTGTTACGTGTATTTTTTTATCATCACAATTATTGTGTATATAAAGATAAGCCTGTCAATAGAAGTGTTACGTGTATTTTTTATCATTATTGTTATTGTTTATATAAAGATAAGCCTATCAATGGGAGTGTTACGTGTATTTTTATAACTATTATTATTGTGTATATAAAGATAAGCCTGTCAATGGGAGTGTTGCGTGTATTTATTATTATTGTTGTGTATATAAAGATAAGCCTGTCAATGGAAGTGTTACGTGTATTTTTATCATCATAATTATTGTGTATATAAGGATAAGCCTGTCAATGGGTTTGTTTGTAATTAAGCACAAAGCTACACAATGAGCTATCTGTGCTCTGCCCACCACGGGTATCGAAACCCGGATTCTAGCGTTGTAAGTCCGCAGACATACCGCTGTGCCACTGGGTGGGCACCCTGTCAATGGGAATGTTGTTTATCCATAAATGTGGCAGTGAAAAAGTTAGGTAAAGTATTAGCTCTGGTCCTTACAGCTGGTGTAAGTCAATTGTCTGCGTCTCCCCCTGTTGGCGTATTGGATGACTTTAAGAATGATAAACGAATGCAAACCAAATTCTGCTCAATAATCAAGTTTCGGCCTTTCAATAAGGGATCCATGTTATATATTAACATTGAATTATATTTAAATGTGTACATTAATTAAAGATATAATTTTACAAGTAAAATTTTAAAATCATTGCTAGAATAATCTTTTGTAACATCTAGTGCACGTATACTGTTTTACTGAAGTGACATAAATTAGCAAAAAACAATGAGCTACAAACCAGAATATCACCATGTACGTATCACTTATTCATTTCAGAATGTGCAGAATAAAAGCTACACAACGGGCTATCAGTGTTCTGTTTACCGCAGATATCGTAACCCAATTTTTAACCTTATAACCCCTCAGACGTTATAGTTTTATAGTCCTCAAGATTTCTGAAAATTCAATATCCCTCTCGTTTATTTGCAAATCCTCATACACAATATTCGAGCAGCTTTTCCTGAAATATATCACCAGATTATGTTAGAATTTATAAACCCATTCAAAGGTTTTCGTTTTGATTTTTACATTGCAAATTAAAAGGAACCTACATCTGTCTTTGTAAATACAAACTTAATGCTAATAGATCCTCATCTTTAAAGTTCAAAAGCTTTACCATACATTAAAAACTACAAATTCACTCTTCTGATCAGAATTATTTCAAAACACCTTTCATTCAACCTATTGTAAAAAGATATCCCTAATTTTTGAGGTGTAAACTAAATTATTACCAAACTATAGGGAGATTACGACAATCTATAAAAAAATCACTCACCTGGGGAATCAGACATATAACTTTGAGATCATTTGTCATATATTGTATAATGTTATTAGACTATGCTCCACGGCGGCTCAGCTGCATGTCTGAGGTCTTATAATGCTAAATGTCGGTTTTCGATACCCGCGGTTGGCAGAGCACAGATAACTCATTGTGAAGCTTTGTGCTTGCACAGATAACTCATTGTGTAGCTTTGTGCTTTACAACTAACAAATAGACAATACACTCTGTACTAATCCATCTGTTATTCGCCTCTGTATACAATTCTTCATTTGTGTATTGTATATTATTAAGAAATGTCAGAAAAAGGATTAGATCCATTTCATAGCAAAAATACATGTTTATAAGACGTTTTATTGAAGTTCTGTTACATGAATTACACAAGTAAAAGTGTAGAACTTCTCTAACTGTTCATACCAACGTAAAAGTTCAGTGTTGTTTGTCCACATTATGAAACAATATCCTGAAAGTGAGCTTCACCCTATAACATACATCCTTTTTTATGATTATACTTACAAGACGAGTATTTGGTGCATGTTATAACTAGTTATTCGTAAATAACGTAATTAGTTGTACAACCAATACAAATAGCTAATGAAATATTTGATGTGCATTTATAGTCATTAGAAATACTTGATTATATGAAGTATGAAACTGAATGAAAGTTTTCAAATAATCAACTTTCTTTATCTGAGTACTTTCACTTTCTCTTCTTTTCTTCTCATAATCTAAAGATGTGTTTTTTTCACATGAAGGAAAATCCTGATGTATGAGGTAAATTTCCTCGAAATGATTTAGCTTATTTTCTGTGGCTAACGTTTCTTAGCTACTACTGTGCCTTATTGTTCTCCCTCAAGTCTCAGATGATGATTTACAGCAGGCGAACGAAGGTGAAGTACATTCATAAATCTACCTGCCTACAAGGCTAATATAGTTTTAGAGGCAAGTTTTACCTGCCCAAGTATTACAGCTACTAAACTTTTCCTCTGTCATAAACAGGTTACATGATTTATTTATACGCGTGTAAAAAACGTACAAAAAACTTTTAAGCCTGCTTAGTAATAAGATGTAAACTGTTTCATAGTAGAAATCAATTTGTCAGTGTAAGAGCTGATGGTATTTTTTGTATTTTCTCTCTCGATTTTTAATTATTTAAAGAAATAGTACAGGTTATATGTTCCTAAAATAAATTATCTGACAATCGCTTCACTTAATTTCTCTGGCCTAACCAGGCCTGTAGTACTGATTTCATATATGAAAAATAGCATATTTTCTTCATAATAGCTCGAATTACTTCAGACTGCTTCTTTCTACACTACTTATGCTAGGACTAACTAAATACAAACTACCTTTTACTGGTAATAAACATTGTAACTCTCCTTATGCTAAAATTAACTAATGTGGTTCTCCTTCTGTTAATGCTTAACAATGTGACTCCCCTTCAGTTAGTAGTAACTAGAGTGATTCTCCTTGTAATAGCACTGAACAATATGACTCCTCTTCAGTTAGTAGTAACTAATGTGATTCTCCTTGTAATAGCACTGAACAATATGACTCTTTGTGCTAAAACTAAACAATGTGATTCTCCTTGTGTTAGTACTAAAAACTGTCCCTCCTCTTGTCCTAATACTAAATAATGTGATTCAACTTGTAGTAGTACTAAATTAAATTCTATCTTTGTGTTAGTACTAACTAAATATAATTATCAATGTGCTAGAGCTAACTAAATATAATTATCAATGTGCTAGAGCTAACTAAATATAATTATCAATGTGCTAGAGCTAACTAAATATAATTATCAATGTGCTAGAGCTAACTAAATATAATTATCCTGGTACGAACTAAATACAATTCTCTTTATACAAGTATACAATACAGGATACCATATTTTTTTCCTTATCTTAGAAAGGCAAATATCTACTTGTTCGCGAATTCTTCAGACTTCTTCACACTTATATGCGTTGGCACACGAGTTAATTTTGTCATCCAGTCTCTTTCTTTGTTGTTTTAATCTAGTCGGAGTTAAAATGCGGAAGTTAGACTCTGCAGTACATTTCTGCCGAACCTCTTGTCACAGCTGTTACTGCAGATACTTTTAGATTATAAGTGTACCTGAGAAAACCATAGTACTACTAATGTTATATCAATATAACCATTTGTTTCATCGTTGTTTAAGACTCACAACGTA